AGGCCACTAAGCTTACGTCACTCATTACCTCCTTCCTTTGCTGCAGAGCCCCGGCCCCAAGGGTCCCTGTGCCAGCCTGGGAGACACCCAGAGCCTGTCCAAGCAGCGACCCCCACCAGCACCACCTGCCAGCCCGGCCTGAAGCCGCGTTCTTTGAGGTCAGGGTTTGGGAACAAGGACCGGCCCCCTAGGCAGGGCCCAGCCAAACCATCTGAGATTTCAGAGGGAAAAGGCCTGGTTATTGCTAAGTGCAGCGTGTCCCACCCCCGACGGCTACCACCTTCCCAGTCTTCTTTAAACTGACCTGTCTACTCACTTTTAAGAGCTTAGCCCTGACCTAAGCAAGATGTCTGTGAAGTCAAGGGCTCAGTTACTGCCTCCTTCCTAAGGAATACTGAAATAAGTGCACAACTATTCAAAGAAAAATGCCGTCTGCAAACCGTGTGAGCAGCACTGCTGTATGAAATCCGCTCTGCAGCTTTGGGAAGGTGGGAAAATGAGACGGGTGTGTGTGTGGGGCGGGGGGGGTTGGCTCCAGGTGACAGGGTGTGAAGGGGGGTGTCCCAGGGCCCAGGCAGGTGCCCACACCTGCTCCCACCGGGAGGGGAAAAGCCACGGCCAGCACAGGCCAGGGGCAGCCTTGACCTTGCCAGCATCTCAGGGGCTGTCCTGTCTCCTGCTGCCTCCGCTCCTGCCCTCGGCCTCCCGGGGGCAAGGCCATAGCAGACCCCCACCCCGGGAAGTGCCCACTGGGGCAGGGGCCTCACCCGGGTCAGAGCCCCCTGCCAGCCTCGGAGTTGCTCGCCACCCCCACCCCAGCCCTAAGAAAATACAACTATCACCCCTGGTGGTTCTAAAGAAACACATCTAACTGGTTGACTAAGAGTCTGTGGACTCTGGGTGCCTACAAGACTGTTGACACAACTAGACAGTCAGGAACGACAAGACAGACACCCCACTACATGGGGGGAGGGGGGAGGGGGTGGGATCTTAGCAGCATTTCTTCTTTAAAGGAAAAAACCGCACCCTGAATGACATCGCTTTTTCTGAGCCTGTCTCCTGGGCTGTGGGACCCTCGGGGGCCTGAGAGCCCTCTCCAAGCTACTCCCAACCCAGGGGAGACACCAAAAAGTAGGGGTGCTGGTGCCCCAGCAGGACCACCTGCCCAGGGCGGGTCCGGCCTGGGTCCTAAGCATCAGGCAAAAAGCTCTGCCTGGGCCCCAGCCCGCACTTTAGCACTTTCCGGAAGTCATATGCTCTCAGTAAAAAAAATAAATATAGATATATGTCTGTCTCTCTCTATATGTGCATATATATATATACATGTATCTGCGTGGGGAGGACCACGGCCAGGCCGGTCTGGGCTTTGTCTGGGCCTCAGCCCGCCCAGACCCGACTCCATGGCGCTGGGTGGCCGGGCGCCGGGGGCCCGCGGAGTCCAGGC